ATTATAGCTAAAGATCTGGCATCGTACTAAGAAATGTCTCCTTCTTTGGTGCAAATACTCCAACAGTATTTGAACAATATTACATCTCTACCTTCTGCTCCAGTCTCAATCTGAGCCACACATATGTTAATCTTCCCTTGTAAATCAATACCTCTAGCATACCAACAGCTTTTGCCGTGCTCCTCCATTCTTTGACAGTATCTTTCCAGAAAGTGATCACCGAGAAATGAGCATCATATTCACTTGGTGGGGTTACACAGGAGCAGGGAGAACATCAGCTCCCTCCAGCACTCACACAATGCTTATCTGCACAGACTCAGGTGGCAACAGCCTTTTTGCTGCAGCTTCATGGCTCCGCAGGTCCCTCTCTCATTTGTATGTATTGATACACCACACCACAACACACTGCTGTTTGTTGCAAGACCTACAACACCTATGAGCCCCATGCCTCATTTTGTGGGGTTACTAACAGTTATCACTAAATCTTGTGGAAAACGGCACCTGAGATTACAGCCTTCACACAGGAGAGAAGCAGCAGAATTGAGTAGCAACATCATGCCTTTGCTAACCAAAATGACCTGTACTTGGCAGCGTTATGGGACAACTCTCCCTCCCTAGTGTGATAAACAGCAGTAAATAGCTAATGCGAATTTGGTCTTGAAAGGGGCTGAGCATTGCTGGTTTGCCCCTGGCCACCTGCATACCAAGCAGAGCCAATGCACTAAAGGATACAGCAACAGCATCTAAAAAAACTTCTGCCCTAAGGCAGGGCTGGTAAGAGATTTTTCTTCCTCAGTTTTCACCCTGGCTTCACCTATGATAGCACCCAACCAGCTGTCATTACTGAAATAGGAGTTACTGCTGTTCTCATTCCTCCTTGCTACACAAACAGGCCATTTTCACTTATTCAGTTGTCAGAGACCAACACCTGCCTTCCTCACCTTTCCGCACTTCCATCTCAATGCTCCCAATCCTCAGTTATCCTACCTATTTGCTCCTGGTAACTAAGATTTTTCTATTATTTTCTTATTGGACTTCTGCTCAGACCCTGCTGCTATGTTACAAACCTGTCAAATACAACTGAAAGGGCTTCTTAATTTTATACTTTTCTCTGTGTGCTTTTAGTAGCTAAAATAAAAACAACAGCAAAAATACCCACCCCAGATAATTTATTTTAAGGTATGGCTGCAGGGAGCTGAACTGGCATAAGTGCAGTTGTAATAATTCTACAAGGGGGAGGGTGAACAAAGACACAAGCTCTGGTAAGTAAAGAAACCTTTTAAATCAGATCTGCCAGTGACAAGAATAATTTAGAATGAAGTTTCAGTACAAAAGAAAGAAATTACAGAACCACTGAACTACCACAGAGTTTAACAACCACCTCTGCAATCACTCTGTTTGTATTGTCCTTCCCTCCCCTCCCACACCCATCTCTGTCTCATCAAGTCTGAAAGCCCTTCAGATCAGAAAATGAACCTCGGTGTATGTACAGCACCTAGGGCCCTGATTCTGCTGTGATATTACATAATAACTTTGCACTTCAGAGCACGCTTAGCTTTTATTCCCTTTAAGCACTCTGTCATCACAGCGCATCTTCAGCAAGATCTTCACCCTTTATTGTTCTGGGCCAAAACTAAGCTGTCATCATCTTTGCTGCCATACCTCATCCCCCCACTCTCCCGCCTTAACAACCTTTCTTCTCAATTTTTAATCTTACAAGTTTGTCCCCAAGCATCTTGCCCCTCAAAGCAAACTCTAATTCAATGAATCACCTTTAAAACTGTGCTTTTTCTTTTGTAATGTACTAAAGCCTCTGACAAAGGGTTGCATATGTAAGTCAGCACAACTCTGCTCCTCCTCTCTGACAGTCTTTTTTTTTTTTTTCAGTTTTGACATCTTTTCCCTGTTTCATCTCTATTTCCTTGTGTGTTTTTAGCAAAGCTGGGAATACCTTACGCACTGTACACTGTTTACAACTTTGTGGGTACTAAGTAAGAACAACACAACAAGAGGCATGTCCTAGGAGGGAAAAAACCCTACCACACAGAGCTTGCAAAGACCATCACCATTTACATGGATTAGCAATCCATCTTTCTTCACACGCTCAGTCCAAATTCCCAGCCTGCCAGATAATAAATCAACTTTTTGCTTCAACTGTACAGTCATTGGGAGATCTGTATAGTTTTAGGTCAAGCACTTATAACCATTTTATGATTCCAAAGTTTCTTAACTTGTCATTTAGCTACTGAACTGTGAGCTTTCATTGACTTTCTAACCATTGTGGCAAGAACTGCTACTAGCCATGCAAGATTTAAAACCTCATTGAGCAGAGGAGCAAAATCGGACTGCGGCAGTTTTAAGTATATATTGGGGTGGAATCATGACCCCGTGGAAGCCAATGGAAGTTCTGCCACTGGTTTACTGGGGCTGGGTTTCTTCCCTGCCTGCTGCCATTTGTTGTGTCGGGGTGAATAGATATTGCAAGCTCTCTTTTTTACACCCTCAAAATGAGATGCTTGGAAATAATTTATTTTATGCTTTTCTTTTTTTCCTCTCCTAGCGAAATATTTTACATACAGTCAATTACTGTACCTAAACACCAGCTCTTCCATGTGGATCTATATGATTCTTCCTCTCCTGCTTGTCAGCTTAATTTCTTCTGCTGTGGCATGGAGTGTTTAATAGCAAAATCTAACACTCAGATTCTTCTGTTTCTTAATTATCTGTGCCCTGTCAGCTATATCAGTGAAAATAAGTTACCATTAGACAATTCAAATACCAGTAAACACCAAGTTGTGATAATACAGAGTTCTGTATTACTGTCATTATAGAAAAAGCTGTTCCAGGGAGGTTTAAAAAAAAATTAAATAAGCCCAGCACTTCTAAATGGCCAAAACCCTAAAGATATCTTAATTATTCTTCAATATCTTAATCATTCTGTAGAATCATGATCTTGTATAATGGCCATTTTAAATGAAAGGTTTGCTGCTCTGCACAGTTGCCACTTTCTTCTAATCGTGAATTAAAGCATAATTTAGAGTGGCTGTATGCCAGCATGACTAGAAAAATTTACAGACACTAACTCTGGTTGAAATAGGGGGGGAAGAAGCTGTTAGGTTTCTTTAAGCAATAGAAAATCACTCATCAAGTTGTACTTTAAAACAAAACATTAGAGCTTTAAGTTGACAAACTGACTTGAATTAAACCACATAAAAAAGTGCTTGCACCGTAAATCTTAAAGGGCAGAAGTGATGGTAGGTTATCATTCTGTTTATTAGCATGTACTTTGGAGAGTTCAGGGCAAGTATGGATACGCATTCATTTCATTTTATGCTGCACATTACTGAAAACACATTCCCCATAAATAATTCATAAATGCATTGTCTGAAATTTCAGATTCCAAAAATACAACACGGTTTTCAACTTTATGGTTGCTTGGTCTTCAAAACAGAAATAGACAATTGGATGGATGGACTTGGCAAACATGGTAAGAACCCATCAGTCAGAATTACACTCCAGATGTACATGCACACATCTCCCCGCTCCTGATCCCTGTGACAGCAAGGCCATGATGATAGCCCCTGTGCTTGTACGAGCCGTTCTTTGGTAAGGAACATGGAGGAAAAGAGAAAGGGAAGAAGTCACCATGTAGTAAGAAGAAAGTGTTCAGTCAGATGCCTGACTCTGAAAACAACACTTACTAGGGGAAAAAATGCCTTGCTGTTCTCAGTGCGTAGCAGGAGAGTTAGAAGAGAAAAGGATGTTTTACAGGATGGTGTGGTGGGGAGTTAATAGGTTGAAACTGCCTAGAAATCCAGAGGATTAAAATTAAGATATAGTAACAGCCAAAATATAGAGAATGGATATACTTTGCCTTGCAAAAAAAAACATTTTTCTGGACACACTGCAAACCACAAACTTGAGCTCTGCTTGTTGCTCTCAGCTTTTAATTGGTATCACTTAGTTAATGCTAATGACATAGTACGTGGTCATCATCTTTTACGCTAGCTACGTCAGCATAAGAAAGGTGAATAGGATCTTGCAGCTCATCTGAAGTCCAATTTCTGCAGGGAGCAGAGTGACCACAACACTCACTGAAGAAACTGAAGTATGCTGCAATACCTAAGCTTTACAAGCCTTATGATTCTGCATCTTGCTGACATTATATGTAGTTTATGCTCAGCTGCTTGTTTTTTTTTTCCTTCATAGCTATACAGAACCCCCACATCAGATAGCAACTGCTTTTCAGCCAGATTTGCATTCACTTGCTCTCTTCCATGCACCTCTCAAAGACAGACACACACAATTTTGGGTACCTTATCTAGTGAAACCCTTGATGCCTTGCCTGAAAACAGCCCACAACCTCCCTTTTGGCCTCTCTTTATTAGAACTTACTCCAATTTGTATGAGAAGAAACACTGCAACTGAGCTCAAATACCTGGCACCCCAAGGTATTGATTGCTTGGGCACAGGCCTTACATGAAGAAACAACGCTCTCACAAAAATTGCATTCCAGTACCCAACTGCTGTAAAACTTCCTCCTCAGCACTCTGTGTGGAAGGGTTGGGACTATCTGCTGCTCCATTCATTTCCAGGTGTGCTGAACTCTCTGGGGTAATCTTTAAATCAGCTGAGATTTCATACATCAAAGATGAGGATACATAATTCAAGAGGAGCCACCGAGATAAAACAGTAGCTGTAAAAAAAAGTACAGCATGTCGGTGGTGCCTGGTTTAGCATGTCAAAGAGGGGCAACTGCTGGCAAGGAGCCGTGTGGCAAAGCGGGTAGAGTTGTTGTAAGCTTCATAGGGACACAGGCACTGAATAGGCTTGACACTGTGCAAGTACAAAGTTAGAAGGCACCCTACAGAAAAAAGCAGCAGTAAAGCACGGAGTACAAGGCGCTGAGGCCTGATGTCCCTTGGCTGTAGCCATCACACGCTAACAACCTCTTTCAAAGAATTTACACAGGTGGTAGGTGTCCCACTGAGATAAATTACCTGCTTTTGGTTGCTGAACAGATGGGCAGGGAAGTGAAATTTTAGTTTGTTCATTCCCAGCAGTAACTAGCAAAGATGATCTCGGGCTCTGCAGGATTGTTTTTCGATAACCATACACCTGTGGACAGTCCATGTTGCTGTTAGAAACTACATAAGGTCACTGATACACTACAAAATAAGGCAGGGCACTGAACTGCTCAACAGACTGATGCTATGTCTCACTCCCTTATTATTCTGAATATGTTTGAGGCTGAGGAGGGCAAAAGAGTGGACAAAGAAGGAAATCAACAGGCAGGAGAAATGGGCCCACAAGAATCTCACAACATTCAACAATGGGAAACATGAAGTCCTGCATGGGGGAAGAGAGTGGAGAATAGCCCCAGGTACCAGCACATGCCACATTTTACTGGCTAGAAAGTAGCTTTGCAGAACAGGACCTGGACACTCACTGTCCTGGTAGGTAAAAAACTGAACATAAGCCAGCAAAGGCCAGGACTGCCAGCAGATTGAGGGAGGTGATGCTTCCTCTTGACTCAGCACTGGTGGGACATAGCTCGACTGCTGTGTCCAGTGCTGGAATCTCTAGTACAACACACTGGAGAACAGTGAACAGCAATGAAGATAAGTAAGAAACTGAAGTAGGTGACATGATAGAAACAACTGAGAGAGCTGGGGCTGTTCAGCTTGGAGCAAAGGCAGCTCAGAGTGATCTCTGTGAATAAATACTTGATTAAGAAATGAAAGAAGATGGAGCCACAGTGTTCTCAGTCATACCCAGTGAAAGGACAAGAGGTAAGAGGCACAGACTGAAATACAAGAAATTCCATTCAAATGGAAGTAGAATAACTTTATTGCTACATAGGTGGTTAAACACTGGGACAGACTGGCCAGACAGACTGTAGAATATCGATCTTTGGAGATATTCAAAACATGACACGACACAGCCCTGAGCAGCCTGCTCCAGCGGACCCTACACTGATGATCTCCAGAGATGCCTCCCAACCTCAGCTATCCTATGACTTCATAGGAGGGTATTTCCCTTTATCAACACATTAAACCTCATGGAGAACATATGTCAAAAGAGCAAAGACTGACTAGCAAGGACTGGACTCTGACTTACCCATACAGTACAGGCATGGAACAACCAGGGAAGCTTAAAATACCAGTGCCTGCAAACCAGGAATCTCCATGAATCCATCCAAACCTTAACCAAGGGCTTCTGCTCAGAAAGGCTTGCAACTCATTAAAACCAGAATATATGGGAAACCTGATGACATATTTGAACATGGGTTTTTCCTCTCATCCGCACACGTTTTACCAAATCACTTGCATCTATTCATGTACAAATATATCATGGCACAAACTTCCACACACTTTTTTTTTTTTTTTTCTCCAAAAAGATGATCACAGCCACACTGTAAGAAACTTAGGAAAAATATTTTCACAGTACTTTCACTTTAAGCCTGCAAATATTTTCCTGGCAGCAATCCCCAGCTAACCTTGCAGTGAGATCTCTCAAAGGAAACAGAACTCTTACTTTAAAAACAAACCCAAAACACCACACTACAAAATGAATGTGACCCAGGGACTTACCCTTGTATGCAACAACACCAGCAGAGTGCACAGAGACAGTGAAGTCCGCAGGGCGTGAAATTAAAATTTTCACAGAGATACAATGAAGTAATGATACAAAGATACAACCTTGGCACAAAAATCTTCTGGTTTGAGTCGAGTCAATGTCATGTGATGTCACGGTTTGTGCACTGGTAGAAATGGTTTGCTGCTAAAAAGTTCATAACAAAACAGAAGGAGTGAAAGCAAGAAAATTGCATGGATAATTACAATGGGGCCCATACATTCTAGAGATCTAAACGCTCCTTACGACGCTCATCACAGTGGTATCCGGCTGTCATCTCTGGCTGAGTTAGGAAAGCACACTTTTCTTTCACGCCTAGAAATCTAGATGCTGAGAGGCCATTAGGAGATAGGAAAAAGAAGACTGAAAGAGATCTGAACTTGGCAAGGAAGAGGGGAGGGAGAGGGCATCTCTCCTATTAGGGTGGTTTGTGCCTATGAATGAGATGGATATGCAGGCTCCAAATTCGAAGCATATGGATAAGAAGAGGGATGCACAGAGCAATTAACAGAGTCAAGCAGAAGCTGGGAGGAGCAGCAGCTGGAGCACTGTTAAAGTCCTTCTAGGAATTGCTTCACCTGTTACAGTGAAAATAAAAGGCAGCGCTGGAAGACCATAGGCTCATCAGCAAGGACAAGGTCATTGGAATAAGAGTGGAGCTTGAAACATTCCAGGCAGAACTACATGCAGAGTGGGGTTCAGACACTATATTAAAAGAACATGCCACATCGGACTCAAGACTTGCAAAGCAAGTTACAAACTGCGTGTTTTAATACTACAAATACACCCACACCGTGTAACACTGAATTATCTGATCACCTGCATGGAAGCAGGAAGCATTTTATTTCTGAGTATGAAATATTCTACAAACTCATAGATCATAAAGCTGCTTGTACATTATGATGTCTCACAGATGCCTGGCAGACTGACTGACAGACGTGCACGTGCTCTGCAAAACGTATTTACAGGCCTGAGCTAAGGGGAGAAAGAAAATCTGAATTCAGCCCTACTGCTCACCTCAAACCAAGGCTTCATGATCACTGTCAGTGTTACACACACGAGAACTATTGGTAGTGAATTTCCAGGAGCCCTTCTGGAAATGGAACAGAAAAAGTGACTAAGGGTGCCGAGGTCATTCCTTACAAGGCATCTTTCTCACCCTACTGATTCAAGATGGTACACACAGAGAAACATACAGCCAAATGTGACTTAATAAAATCTTCAAGTCTTCAGCTTATTAATTTTTTAAATTTTTCTCATTTCATTCCAGTGATTTCATTAGGTTAGACTTCTTCATCTTTATTAAAAAATAATCAGAACTGAAATGTTTCAATAAACCCAATTTCTGTTTTAAGTAGCAAAAGATGATTCGATGCAGATGAAGCAAAAACGAAAGTTAAAAGTACAATGGTATTAGCAGCTTTGAGAATCTCTTTTAGAAGGTTTTAAATACATAAATTATAAGTTAGTACTCTAAAATATCTTTGGTTGTTTTTTATATAAAAAAGAATCTTAAAAGCAATTTGTTTCATAGAATCATAGAATAGTCTGTGTTGGAAGGGACCTTCAAAGGTCATCTAGTCCAACCCCTTGCAATGCCCAGGGACATTTTCAACTAGATCATTTTCACTATATTCTCCAGCTGTTACGTATCAAACCAAAATCCACCTTTACAAGCGAGAAGAATCAAAGGAGAAAGAAAAAAATAACACCTAAGGCACCACTATTAAAACAGAGCTAACTTTGTACAGGGCAGGAAACAAAGACACATTATTATTTTCAGTTAAATATTTATTTTTCCATTATGTTTTCAAATTATTCCACTCCCAGCACATTAAGTCTAACACATTTGGTTTTTTTTTCAGAGGGCCATAAATGAAGTACCACCTCATAAACAACACAGAATGGATCCAAATTATCATACATGACCCCAAATTACTTGGGAGCCAGATGCAGATAGCATTGAGAAATTTAAGTGCTAAGTGTAATCACAATTAAATAAATGCTTAAAAGAAAAAATAAAGGGATATCGTTTTCCTTTAATATTATCTAAATGCTGAGGAGAGAACTTCAGTGCTCTAATCAGAGCCCACCACAAAGCCAAACTTAACAATGCTCAGTATGTTCAGTGTTCAATGCCCGTGGTCAATTGATGAGGTGAGAGGCTCGAGGGAGGACGCCTTCAGCACCGGGGCGGGAGGAGATCAGCGTCCAGGAGCCTCACCTCAGAGCGGCGAGAGACACCCAGGGAGCCTCGAGTCCTCGACAGGACCTGCCCAGGAGCCGGCAGCTCAGCTGAGGCGAGCAGGGACTCACAGGGGGCGGAGCCAGGAGCAGCGGCACCAGCCCTGAGGGGGTAAAAACCTGCCCAGGGAGCGCGGGCGAGCAGAGGCGGGCAAACAGGGCGGGTGGAGGCAGTTTGCGCGGGCAGGCGAGCGGGCTGGTGAGCACTGTCGTATGAGCAGGGTCCGGTCCGGGAGCTCTGTTCTGGCTGCCCCGGCGGTGGCAGCGTAGGCACCCAGACAGAGGCGGTGAGAGGGGAGGCTGCAGTGCAGAGCTCGGGGTGTAGAGAGTGCCGGCACTGGTCTGGTGAGGGGAGGGTGCACAATGGGCAGGGCTGCACTAGGTGCTCCCTGGTGGAGGTGCTCCTGCAGCAGGGGCTGAGCTGCGGGATACTGTCAATAGGCTGCGAGATGTCAGGGAAGCTGAGGGGAAGCAGGACTGCTTGCTCCAGGCCCAAACTGTGCAGGGGCCTTGAGCGTCCCCTGAAGCTCATGGAGGAAAGAAGGAGGCCGTTAACCCGGGAAGCTGGGAAACAAAACAAAAAAAAAAAAACAACAAAAAAACACAACAAAAAAAAGGAGGCAGAGGACAAGCAAAAGCGAGGGGCTTCCTCCTAAATCTGTTGTCCTCACCCAGAACTGCTTTGCAGTTCTGCTAGGGGGCTCATGAGGAAACGCACTCGCACCATGAACAACCGAGTGATGTGCTGCTAAAGATCTCTACTGGTGCTGCCAGGAAAAAGCGGCGGGTCGTAGTAGTAGGGGACTCTACTTTGAAAGGCACAGAGGCACCCATCTGTCGGCCTGACCCAGTCTCAAGGGAGGTGCATTGCGACCAGGGGCACGGATCAGGGATGTTGCAGAGAGGCTGCCTGCTCTAGTAAGTCCCAGTGACTACTACCCACTTCTAGTGATCCGTGTGGGTGCTACTGATATAGATAGCAGTAGACTGGAGAACACAAAGAAGAACAGAGCCCTGGGAGAGGTGGTTAGGGGCTCTAAAGCTCAGATAGTCTTTTCATCAATTCTCCAGGGTACAGGGGAGGACCTTAAAAAGGCTAGGAGGATTGGCCAGGTTAATAAATGGTTAGAAGGGTGGTGTCATAGTCAGGGGTTTGGGTGTCTTGAGCATGGGACCCAAGCTTGTAGGCCAGGTCTAGTGGGGGCTGGTGGAGCTGGTCTGATAAAGAAGGGA